TTCTAATTGATCAAACACTATGTACCCTCATTCACTGTAGTACAATAGTATTTAAATTTCTCAATTATTTCCAATTGTCTACTTGTTCCAATATGTTTTTCGCGAGTCCAATAGTTTTTTCTATAAAGATTGTCTCACCAATCAAATCAATTTCTTAAGAATAATTTTCGAATTTATAATTAAACAGTAAAATTTTTTTGTTTCTACTTACTAGTAATTAAACAGTAAAATTTTTTACCTATGAATTTTATTTTAGTTTATGAATTATAGTTTATATAACTATATAACTTATGTGTTTTTACCTATGAAATTTTATCTTTGTTTTTTTTATTTTGATATATTAAAATTCTGGTAAAATTAAATTTCTTTCATTTTATGTATTGTAATTCTCGTAATTCTGTTTGTCTCGTAATTTTATTATATATAAGTAATATGGATCTCATGTCTTATGTATATCTTATAATTTTTACAATTAAAAAGTAAAAATATTGGATTGTACTGTGTATTTTCATTTATTGTCTATGAGATATTCGAAGTAAGTCTATGAATAGAACGTCCATTGGATATATTGCATTTTCGTTTAGACAGATGTCCAATGGACGTTCGAAGGATATTCATTTAATCCGACAATGGCGTCCTCGGAATATCCGTATTCATCCATTGGATGTCTTTATAGGATGTCCTATGAACGTATTTCGGCCGGACATTGGGACATAATCTGAACATCCCATGGACAGCTGACGGACAAATATCGACATTCCACGAATATCCGTATCGGACCAATTGGACGTACTTCGGACGTCCATTGGATGTCCATGTGCTATGTGGGTTATTATGTACTCAGATCTTAAATGACGTCAACAGAATTAAATAATTTCAACGTAATGTCTTCAAATTTGATATACATTACAATGTGCGCTAGATTCGAAGGGATTAAATTTGAAGCGAAAGATTGTACATGCATAAAATTGGAATTGTGCTCTATATTTATGAAACTCTTTCTTAACGATTGCAAAACGTTGACAGCAAGTTGTTTCTGTGACATTCACTTCTCAGAAGAAGTTACGTCGTGTTAACCGCCTATCAAAATTGCAAAGAGAACGTAATCTGCTTATCAGTTTTGCCAATTAACATTACAATAAATCTACCGAGCATGCATTTGCAACAAAAAAATAAAATGCATAATTTATGAACGTTTCTTTGCGGCGGAATCGCGATCCGAATAATTACGCGTGTAATGCTTATGCGCTACTGTAAATATAGTTCAGCGATTAGTTTATCGTAAGACTTATTTGTCGGTGCACATTATCGTTGGCGTTTTTCTTATGCGCATATCTAATCACTATTAATTTTTGCAAGAAATGCGCGGATAAAGCGAAGGGATCCACATTCACCGTGATCGTCCGTGAAACGATATATACGCAATGATATAGAATTGCTGTACAATATATTAGTCTCAAATAATAATTGTTTCATCGTACTGTTAGGTGTTCAAATATATCGCAATGTTAGCTGTAAGATGCTTTTCAATAACATACACAGGCGACACTTTTGCAACTCATTGTACAATTCCATGCTTTTTAATTGACATAAGTCGAAATACAATCATATCAAATGCTAACCCAATCAGCAGACAACATTTACTTTTTAAATATTTATTTAATATTTTTACATTAAATAAATATTTTAAAAACGGTTTAAAAACATCGTCTGCTGATTGGGAAAATGCAGTCATTTTATATCACTTCACAAGTATCAAATCTTTATTTTTCTAAAAATGATACTCCGATAAGGGACTTCAAGATTATATTCGGATATATTTGAATATATAGGTGTTTTTTTTTATTTTAATCTGAATGAAATAAAAAAGCTAAGCAACGTTTCAGCTACAAATCTATAGTGTGTATTACTGTGTCACACAGTGTAAACTGTGTTTCGTTGCTGGAAAGCACTTATTTTTAAAATGGAGTAACATTGTCCTGGAAATATTTTTACATAGCAAAGAAATACATTATCTCTACACTGGAAAAAATTCACTAAATCTTAATACTTTTTTGAATATTACTAAATAACACTTACTTACAGTAAATAAATATTTACTTACAATGAGAAAAAATCTATTAAAATTTAATAAATGTTTATTTGAATAGTACCAATCATCATTTACAGTAAATATTTATTACTCAATAAAAAAATAATTAAATCAAATTAATGATTTTTGTAACAAACATATCTTTATATATATATACATTTAGCAAATATTTAGTTGGCACTATTCAAACAAATAATTTATTAGTACATTTTTTCAGTGTAATAAAAAATAATAGTTAAATCAAATTAAGTTCTTGTACTAAATAAATATGTTTACATTTAGTAAATATTTACTTAGAACAAATGAAACGAATATTCATTAAATTTTTTTAAATATTTTTTCTAATGTAAGAATCTGAAAAAATATTTATAATATTATAAGTTATGCTGCAACTCAATAATGTTTACGCAATTGATTCTATTATGCATATATATGCGATCATAAAATCTTTTCTTTCTTTACCGTATTAATCGCGCTGGTGCAATCGCCTTATTTTAATATGTCGAACGATCTCTTGCACTCGGGATGAAAACATATATTATTTAGTTACTGATTGGTAGGATCAGTTCTTGGTTTGGATGTGACGAAAGCAATATATAAAATATTTAAAGCGGTCGAGTGGCGTGTTAATTGCGGCTGCAACTTATTTGCGTTACATGTACGCTCATAAGGAAGAAATCCTCGGGGTGTTTCACTAGAAATTGCATCGTACTTTACTGAGCACCGCACGAAATAGATTCGAGATGTATATAATGCACGAAATTATAAGAACATTAATTTCGCAATCTCAGATGATAAACTTACGTAAAATAATTTTTTTATAACAATTTCCACATGAAATTATCTCATAATTTCATACATATTTTTCTTCTCTTAGTATAAATGGAAAAAATAAAAAAATTTACGTATATATTTAGTTTCCTATTGACAATTAAGGAAACAAAATAATTTAATAATAAGTGAAAATAAATGAAACAAACAATAAAATAATTATTAAAACAGGTCTTTTTCCATTTACCAAATTGCATGAACTTTTTCTGGTATGTTTTTGTATATTTTATGTATTAAATGAGTAACTATGAGGAGCAATTTATTAGCTGTCGACTATTAATGTCGCGTTTTCTACTTGAAAATCCGTTGATATTGCTAAGCATCGGTAGTTAACGATGTAATTGATGTTATAAATTAAAAATCGCCATAAAATTATTTGTTGCAAAAATGCATGAATATTTTCCTTTAGAGCGTTAACGATCTTCTTAAAACATTAGCGCATTTTCATCCATTTGGTCTCTCTGTTGAGACAAATAATATTTTAGATAAGATAAAAACGCAGCTGTCTGTTAATTTCAACAGTAGTAAATATGTTGTGTTCTAATCGGAGCAATGAAAACTCTCATTACCGGCGATTTTGTCGTAGAAATATATATTGTTCGACGTTACTTGGCGTAAATCAAGATAACAGGTCGATGTTTAATTTGGCTTGACAAATGCTTTCTTTGATACTTTACGTGACATTGATGTCGGAGAAGAACGCAATATTTAATCCCAATCGATTTGTAAGAAGAGATCGAGCGCGAACAACAACAAACTGTTGAACCATATGATACACGCTATAAATAGGATTTATGTAACAGCGTATATATAATTTCTCGTATATTTAATGAGCGGGAGTTGTAAATTCTCTCTAGCATAAATGTTTTTATTCGTATGTGTTTACCGGACAGATAACTCCAACGGACAGATAAACCACGACGCAGTTTTGTATAATTAATTTAATTTTCAAATCTTCATAACAACAAAACACTAATTGTTAAATAGCAGCAAATTAATCCGAACGTATTAGTACCAAAATAATTTAAAAACACATATTAAAGGTCGAAGCAGTTTTTAACGCGTTTAACGTAACGATAATAAAAGAAATTAAATTAATTTTGACAAAAAAAACTTTACACATAAAAACAAACGTAAATTTTTATTTATTTAATATTTTTCTTGGCAAAGAGAAGGCTACCGCATTTCAACATACAGCCGTTATTCAATTGAGAGGTTCTAGTAAATCATGAAAAGAAACTATTAATTTTTAGAAAAAAGATTTTTACAACACAGCGAATTTTTATTAAATATTTTTATAAAAAAAGTTGCTGCTTGTCATTTTTATATGAACTATTATTTAAAATTGAGAAGTTATAAGAATAAATCGCAAGAAGTTAAAAATTCTTATAAAAGTGAATCTTTATTAACTACTTTCCTTAACAAAGAAAATTGCTGCTTGTTACAGAACCATTGTTAAGAATAGTAAATCATACTTCCGGAGGACTATCGATTCATAACCGCCGTCGAATCAAAGAGTTATGAATCTCTCGACTTTCGATGTCTGTGGTCGCATCGACGCCATATGTTAGCGTGTAAAAGCCATTGCTCTATTCTCGCAAAAATCAACTAATAAAAAGGTAACTCGTCGACCTTCGATATAGTCTACGCTTCGCGGCGACTGGTTCTCTATCTCTTTTCCACTGTTACCAGGTCTCTCCCAGCTTTTCTTCTCTCTCTTTCTCTCATTGCACACCGCGTGTGTGTACGTATGTTCGCCGCTCTGCCAACTTTCACGTATCATAATATATAGTGAAAGAATGTGGTTTCCCTTTCAAATTACAAAATATGCCACGAGCGTGCAATTCAGTACACTTCCTTTTCTTTAATTTCGCTTTTTTTTTACGTTATCTCAATAAGTTTTTAGATTTTTTCAATCTACTTTTGAAACGTGCAATTACTAACCGACAGTAACAATAGAGCAACTTTTAGAAGCAAATGGAAAGGATTAAATGAAAAGGATTAGATGAAATTTGAAATATAATATACAATATAATAAGAGAGAGAGAGATAAAAAAATATTGTAACTTTGCGTTTACGTCTAATGTCGCTAATCTAACTTCTCTTGTATTCGTTTCTTCGACTTGAAATCTGAGTTCTCTTCTTCAGTCTTTTTTTACGCCTTCACTCGAAAATGTACATCCTGCTGACAAGCGGAATATGAGACTCTAAAAGTTTAGACTGGAAAGGACAGCGCTTGGGACTGAAACCTTGATTGAGATATTACATTGCCACGGCGCGTACAATCGGTGCGCAGTTTTATTATTAAAGAAGGACTTGACCCAGATTTTATCGGTGAGGAAAAAAAAAGGATACCTAGACGATCCATCCTGAATGTCTGTTCTGACATCTTCGTCGAACGGCGCATTATTGCCTCCGGCGACGATTTGTATCATCTTTCATGTTATTAATTTAGACAGGAGGGATGGATTTATGTGGGTTGCGACTAACTGGGTCAGGGACATGGGTTTGCGTGCGCGTATAATGTACACTAGTCAGGTCATCCAGATTCATATTTCCTTACGATGAAAGATATATGTGTGTATATGCTTTATTTGTTCCAGATAAGCAGTAGTTTTAACAAGACTAAATTAATAGTTTACACTGTGTGGTTAACAGAGTAAACGTGTTTTACAAATATGAACGATTACGCGAGTTACATTACGAGCAGTAATTTGTTATATATAAACGATAAAATAACCATGTAAAGTGCATACGGCGGATTTTAAGCGATTATTATTTCCTTTACTTCACTTTTTTGTATCGTGTAATCTTTCAGATAATTGGTTAAGAAAAAAGGAGGTATTTACATTAAAATATATAGAAGATCGTGTTTAAATAATGTTAAACGTTTGACTGATAATAAAAACGATATGCTTTTAGAGTAATTTGAAAACATTCTGCGGGCAACAGGTTCTCAAAATTTCTTCTTAATTTTTCCACTGCAACTGCCATGGCCACCCTTTGTCTCAACCTCAGTACTTAAGGCTGTCTCGGACAGCCGCGAAACAACGCCACTTGTCCGGTAGGTAGAACGGTTCGAAGATATGCGGGAAAGGACAGTCCCATCCTGTGACTCTTTGAACCGGCGCCTCCAGGTGCAGAAAGCACTCCGTCTGCATTACAATTTGACAATGCACCGTCAGGGTAACTTAGTAATTCAGTCCACGATTAGTTTTACAGCTTTTCTATCGCGGCGTGCAACTTTCTAATTTATAAGAATCGATCGACTGGTATCGATCAATTCGCGAATAACAAATGCAGGGGATTTGAGATATAAGACCAACTAATCGGTCACTGTTAAAAACCGGTTTGGAGGACTATTGCGTATTGTAACATTACCATCTCGCGCGTCATTTTATCTCGTCGAAGACTTCCGACTCAGACACCAATCCGCACGCGCTGCCTATGTTAGAATCACGCAATAGATCTGGCTGTTGCATAAAGCAGTGTCTACAATGAGATTTTCAGGAGTAAAACTTAAGTTTTAAGAAAATTAATCAATCACGCCGGTATTCATAGTTCGTTCTTATTTCAAGACTGTCTTAATGTCTTAAGAAATTAATACATTTGATTGATTCATGACATCTTAAGACTGTACTTAAGACAGTCTTAAATATAGAGAATCGACTATGAATATGGCCATAGTCGATTTGTCTTCTCACAATCAACTGTAATGAATTTCTTACGACTTGAGGCTTAAAGCTTATTCTCTTTTAAAGTAAATTATTATTGTAAAGAGTACAATCTCACTCCTAACATTAAAAATTGACTTTCCTTTTCAAGACTTTTCAAGATTGACTCAATTTTCATTCTTTAGAGTGAGATTCCAAAGAATTTAGAGAATAAGTTTCACGTCTTAAAATCTCATTGTAGACATTGTAGAGATATTAGATATCTGCATGCAATCTTTGCGTAAATAAGGATTTTTATTTTGCCGCAAAGAGTTCGAGAACTTCACGGAGTGAACCTTACTTGAATCGTTGCAGCTATTTCTGCCCCAAATCCATTCGTCATCGGCGCTTCGTGGGCGACGATAACGCGTCCGGTTTTCTTCGCTGACTGTAACATTCGAACATATAATACATCGTATCATGCATATACAGTAATTTATTATTGGTCTCTAGCTGCCGCGGGTTTAATTCGCATGTGATTTACGTCCCGTCCTACATTACGGTACAATAATAACTTCACATGCACAGCCGATGCGCTAAACGGGCGCATTAACGACGTCGCTGATGACGGTACGAGCCGTTTTGTAATAGCTATCAGATACAGGTCTACGACGTGATCGACGTCGTAGAAATATACGCAGGAACAGCCGGTGCGATCGGGACACATAGGTACACCTGTGCCCCTTTTGTGCGCGTATATGCGTGCATGTGTGCCCGTCCTGTTGTAAATCATTGACAAAGGTAACCAGATAGATAAGCGCGATTGAACGCTGAATACAGGTTCCTATGACATTTTCGATTCGCGCCGACCTTCCCTGCAACTTTCAGGAGTTACAATCTTTCGTTACGGATACACCCCGCATAAAATCTACGTCCCTATATTTATCGGATTGATATTTATGGGTTTCTGCATGTCTACTATTAACCTTTATTAACGGGCGCCTTGCTGTCACGATAAATGTTTGAATTATTGCCCCTTCCTCGTAATGTTCAATCCCTTTCAAACGCCTAAGGAGAATAACATCAATTGACTTTGCGTTTATGTTTAAAGGAAGTCGACAACACTACCAATTGCATCTTTCCCTTTTACTTATTAATTGTGACAAGATATTAAAAGAAGGATACTTTATTATACATATATTTAATCTGATGTAATGTATTACGTACATAATAATATACAGCTTATTAAATCTTTTAAAAAGGCTGGGTTTTTTTGTAAGATATAAAAAATTATTGTTATTAAGGCTATATTTTAAAATTTACTGCTAGTGTTGAAAATCTATAGTGTACGTAATGTAAACTTATAGATTTTTAGAGCTGACAGTGAATTTTGGAACATAGCTTTAATAGCGGCTATTTTTAATAGTGGCAAGTCTAATTAGTAGTGGCGAACAGGAGCCTTAAAAATAAAATTCTGATTAGAGCTATTTGAATTGAGTTGATGATTAATCACGCGGTAATAATCCAATATTTCATACTTTCGTGTTCATGAATCATTCATTTTTAACTCTCTGTTAGCTAACAATTGGGCTCACTCAATTATACATTTTTTTGTCAAAAATGTCAACAATTAAATTTTCTTTATCCCAAGGAAAACAAGAAAGTCAAAGTACAATATCATATTAACCGAATCATGACAAAAAATGACATAAATTCCCTGGTGGAAATCTCCTCATGATGGGAAGATTTGGAACGGGTATACTCATTTTAGATTGGTATATATCCTTCTAAAATGGGCATATACCCATGGGTCATGGGCATTTTTGGAGCTATCTATGAGGAGATTTTCACTAGGGTTTGGTCAATAATCAATCAATATAACATTGACATCAACACAACAAATTAATATTGTTTTGACTTTTTTCTTCTTTGTTCTTCTTGGGATGTTACACCTGCAAAAGATAATTCTTATTAAAATATACTTACAATTAATATTAATTCTTTTTTTATATCGAATTATATCATTTTCGTTCCTTGAAGTACTAACCTTAGTGCTGTTAATTAACATAAATTAAATAAATAGGATTAAATCTTATAAACTCAGCATTATAAGTAACGTCTGTTTGGCTTTAACTCCGGAAGGTTAATCGAATTTAATCGATGCGATTCTTTTAACTCCACACGAAATTTTTCGTAGAAGCGGCGTATCAGAATTTTGTTCTGCGAGAGCTGCAATTCCTCTTGTTGCGAAATCGCGCGACGTTTCGAAGGCAAGCATGTCGAAAAGTAGACAAGACGGCGAATCCGCGACTATATCGAAATTGCGGGAAAACGGGTTTTCAATTACGACCACCTCGTCATGTGCGTGTGTGCGTGTACAATGTACATAATGTAGCGGCGATTTGCAAGCGAGTGGATATCGCGGTACGATCGAGCATATCATTAGCGACCTGCGATTGATTAGCATAAATCAGCACGATTATTAACGTCTATAGAAATCTTATCGTAATCTGACGAGGTATACGAGCGGTCAGCTTTGCTTGACACCACGACCGCTTCTCATTTTACTTTGGACGCGACGCACATCTGCCTCTCTATTGTCGATGACACGCCGCGTCATGGGAGATCGCGATCCCGAGTCCTCGCGGGATCGCAGACAACGCGCGACGACGATGAATCCTCGCGCGGTCGTGGGAAGAGTTGATTCCCGATACTTCTTTACCGTGCTATCCCGATGTCTCGCGACGTTCCAACGACGCATACAAATGGTGCGAAAAAGACTTCAATTGCGTCTCTTGTACCTTGCGTGGGCGTATACCCGACGATTTTCTACAACGTAGAAACGCGCGTTTCGGCATTCACAGTCGCGATACATCCATCACCGAGAATCTCAGAGTTTCGAATTAAATTAAAGGAACGGACCAGAAAGGAGATTTCACGCGATCGCTCGGCCTTTGAAATTCGGAATTAATCATGGAGAACGCCCATGAGATCGTCACGACGATAACGGAAAGAACGCAAGCGAGAAAGATACGTCGGACTTTTCGCCTTAAGTGGAATTGTCGAATCGATCTTACTCTTTCTCAAGGAAACAGTCGTGATAGCAACGACTGTTATTGCCCACCTTGCATACAAGTTCCGCGTCCCAAGGTAGAATGGAGACGAGGTCTATCACCTCGCAGGATACGCCGAGTTTCTCCTGGACTAGGTCGGCCACCTCCAGCAATACGTGCACCTGAGTGCCCCAGCCAACGAGTGTCACGGCATCACCTATGTGACAAAGAACCAGAGATGTATTCATGTGTATACATACGCGAGTATGTACAGGCGTTGTAATCGCGGATGAAAGCGTGCATTTCTTCTCGCCTGTATCCTGTTTCAGGACCGGTCACATCGAGCAAGATCGCCGCATTCCGACGATATAATGGAAGGACGCGATCGCACTTGGTAAATTATATTCGCTTCTCGCGTTCGAAAGTGCGAATAGTTACCTTCTATGACTTCAAATAACACCTTCTGAGATGTTATTTTTTGTACGACGGCGCACATTTCACGGTGAATAATGTAAAGAGCGATGTTGTACGCTCTAAACGTTTCTCCGAAAAATGATTTTACAGAACCGCAAATATTTATTTATAGTGTATAATCATTTCTGCGTAGTCTGAAGATGCAAGAACTTCTGATAATACTTACTAATTATAAGTATGTTGCGTCAAAGACAAGAACTCGTAGATAAAAACATTTTAATCAATGTCATTAAAATTTGATTGATAAAATATTGTTAATTATCACCATTAGTTTTGAAAGATCGAGAAAAAGGAAAAATTTTTATTTATTAAGTTATATAAATAGCAATACAATGTATAGAATTTATTTCTTGAATATAAATATAATATAGTATATATTCTTGTATATAGGAATACAAAGATACATAATTAGATTGAAATATCTAGCTCCAGATTGCTAAGCAAAAGATCAAAACACGAGCAACGTTTATTGGATCTTTAAAACTAAACTAGTTTAACAACACAAATTAAGAATTAAACTACACTGTTGAATCTATAGTGTCAAATTTAACTTAATGTGAGTAGCCACTGCTCCTACTCAATCATATCGTTAATTTTACTAAAACAATGGTTATATTTGACATGATATGGTATCAAATTTAATTATCGTTTTAATAAAAAATAACGATATATTTAGTAGGAGCAGTGGTGACTCACATTAGGTTAAATTTGACACTACAGATTTAACAGTGTAGTTTTTCAACTATACGAGTAAAATTAATCGGAAACATACATAATTAGGTTCCATCGCGTATAAAAATTAAAGATTATACTAGCACTAGAGAGCAAAGCAGTGTATTAATTATAAAAGATTCTCTTTTGAAATAAAATAATGTTTAAAATATAATATTTTTCTGATGTTTCTTTATTTTATTTAAAAATAATTTTTTTAAAGACGTTTCTTTATTTTTTGTTTTAAAAATTTATAAACTACATTATGTATAAACTACGTATTCAAAAAGTATCATAGATTATCGATATGATATTGAAACAATATAGTATCAAATAGTGTCAAATACTTATAACTCGTAACTGAAACATACCTATATGAGTCTTGGTGATCTTGGGACTTTTCCTAATTTTTAAACAGTAATGATTTGAAATAATTTTATATGTTTTACAATGTTATTTTTCACAATTTTGAATTTAAAAAATTAAAAATCAAGCTAATAACAAAATTTTAGTGGATCCCAAGAATTCATACTTATGTTCCTTTAGCGTAAAAAAATATGTATTCTTGATACGGGTTAAGTATCTAGACATTTCAAAACTCACCGCTTCTTACAATTTCAGCCTTGCCGATTTCAATCTTGTAATGTGCAACGGGTACTTCTTCGACTGCTATGCGATACAGAGTTTTAGGTTCGAATATGATACAGGGATCCGGCTCGTCGATGCAGCTCAACAGGAGACCCTTTGCGTGCATCGCTCCGCGAGGGACGACGATCTAAAATGAAAAAGAAGGATGAGCTCATTAAAAAACGTATATAGCGATGTATTTGGGCGAGGCGAGAACACGAGGATCGAGTCTCTGCCATCCTCCCGATAATCGTCGGCTCCTTAGCACATGTCTCAAAACAAGCGTGAAATTGATCGGCTCCAGGTAACACCGATGATATTACGCCGCATCGTTCCTCTAGTAATAGCGATGTACGATAGTGGCGGCCACGTGCATTAGTGTGCGAGTAAAACTTTCTTCATGCATACGTAGATCGTGTACGCTGTACAATATTCATGGAATTTGTTGAGGAAAGTTGTGAATTCACGGATCTACGGCTGGCGCGAGATATAGCGTGCTATACCCGAAGAATGTTCCTGATAATAGAAATTTGGTAGCAAAACTCATCTTGTCACCAAACCACACGATCAAGAAAATGAGTCAATTTTTAAAAATAAAATACGTCTCAATCGTCATGTAATGTAGTTACGCGTCGAGCTCGTATCCAGGTAAATCATGAAAGCATTAAGCATTGTTACATTCTATAATTTTGCTCGTACAAGTAGTCGTTTTTTAAAATATTTTTATGTGTTGCTAAGCAAAACAACGAGTGATTTATTGTTTTTGTTTATTAAATCATCAAGTTATATGATATCAGAAAAATGATAAACAAATCATCATGGTATCCTTACATTATCGTGATTTCTGTGTTCTACCTAAGTAGTAGTACAGATCTTGTTGTTCAACATTATAACAATGATCGACTTGTCAGACATTTCGTAAAAACAGTGAGGCGTGGCCTTTTACGACCTTATTATAAAATCGTCTATCTCGATAAGGAACTTGTCTTCTCGCTCGACTATTAACAGAGAGATATCTTAGTTTTAAGACAATTGGGAGGAAACAAGCGGTTCTCGTGTTACGCCCAACGAATAAAATAAAAAACCCATTTCAATTAACCTTCAAACCGGGAGTGTGTGCAAAGTAGGCTTCCGGGCTTTGAGAGTGATAAAGACCACCATGGCCAACGGCTCCGCAAGGTGCACGAATCGTAAGCTTGCCACAGTCAAACATATTGCCGCTTCGATACCTCATTTTGGCCGCTTCGTTTACCAACTGTAGAAGAAACATATGCACAGTTAATAGTCGAAGATAATTAATCTTACACTCTATGTAATAATTTGAATTACGATCAGAACACACATTCAGCGTTATTTCATACAATTCACTCGCGAAATACACTGCTCAACAAAAAATAGGGAACACTTTCGAACACGCTCAAAATTGCGCAATATTCAGAATACCATACGTTACACCATACATTGAATGTTGAAGTAAGCACAGAACACCATACATTGAACGTTGAAGTAAAAATGTCACTTTTGCTTCAACGTTCAATAACTCGGTGAAAAAAAATCGTAGAACGATCAATAAAAAAACAAATTGAAGTTAAAGATTCACTCTTTCGAATGCTGTGAACCGCATTATTGTCAAATTTTTAGTACACGCCACAGATCTTTGTAAAATTTGATCAAAATTTTCAAATTTGACGGATATCCATTTGTATCCGCGTAGTTCCATGAAGGATCGATCAAATTGAAATATTACCGATTTGAAAAGTAGAGATTTCAATCTTTAAAATGCTTTTTCGATTTATTTTCTGCGACGATTTTTCACCGAGTTATGGTGTTCTGAATATTGCGCAATTTTGAGCGTGTTCGAAAGTGTTCCCTATTTTTTGTTGAGTAGTGTAGTTGAAAAAACTTTTTAAGCTATGAAAAAAAGTTTTCGCGCTCTCTGAATTTTTGAAGTTAATAGACTCTTGGTCATACTTTTGTTTGCACTTTCTTATTATTTAAATAGCTAAATTTTCTTAAAACTTTGGATTTCTTTAACTCTAGACATACAAAATAATAATTATCATTCTATCTGTTATATTTATACTATACGTGCTGTATGAATAATGTGACACCTGATCGAAAGCGGGGAATATGTAATCGGCAAATTGTATTTCGGCAATCGCCAATATTCCTGCGTTGGCTAAACCAATTCCGAAACCGGCGATTCCTTGCTCGCAGAGAGGCGTGTTGAAGACACGATTAGCACCGTAACGGTTCTTCAAGTCCATCGTGCAACGAAAGACACCTCCGAATGCCACATCCTCGCCAAACACCACTGAAATTTTAAAAGGAACTGTAAGCAACTAAGCAACGTCTTCTATTTTTTTTCCCGAAAAATATAATCATTTCTGTTTTAAAGATTTCAACAAAAAGTAAAAGATTCAGCTTTTATTAGAAAAATTAAATTCTATTAACTTTTATAGACGATTAAATAATTTTCTTAACAGCTTAATCAATATTTTTAATTTTTCAAAAGTATTGAAAAATTGAGAATGAATATTGTTAAATATCTACATATTTAGATAGAGAAAATGCTTTAATGTATTATATTCGCGTACAGCTACATATTCCAATTAAAAAAGAGCACAAATATAACAAAATTCGTACCTGAACGTGGATTGTTTTCCAATGCAATGTTAAGCCCATGATTTATAGCTTGATACATATTCAGCTTTTGAGTCTCACCTAGCACAACTTTTATGTAATCATATGAATAATGCATAATCAGGGTCGTGCAAAAGATTTTCAGGGCCTTGCCCATACAGCACACTTTATTCCAGAGATGTTCCTGCGAACGTTCTCAGAACGTTGGGACATTCTCAAGATGTTCTTCAGAACGTCCCTTGAATATCTGTGCGTGCCATTAAATTTAAATTATTACTTTATGAATTATAAATATAAATTGGATAAAAATTAATTTGGATAGAAGCAATAAAAATGATATCTCATTGTTAACCAAAATTTCGGGATTCATTATTAGGAGCCCTGATGCGGTTCTATGCCTTCCAATCCTTTGCACGGTCCTATGCATAATTAAATGTAAAATAATTTTGGGAATAATGGGAAAATCTTCTAAAACATTAATGCAACAATTGAACTAAAAAACAATTTCTTGAGGATTTGTAAGAAGTTTGAAAATCTTTATAAGAACTACAAATATCATGCAACAAAAACTTGAATCATTTTTGTTATGACGATCTGTTATATCTTAAATACATGTAATAATGCCATTTTATTTAAACAGAAATAATAATATAATGATTCTCATTATAACAAATATATAAAGAAAAACATTAATGTCGGCAATTTATCTCTCTCTCTTCTCGCCACGTTATATCCAATAATTTTTAATTTAGTTTTGACGTAACATATCCTTGCGCATGCATGAATTAAAGAAAGACGATCACCTTCAACAGAGATATGAATATTTTAAATCAAATATTTGAATACTCGTAAAATGTGCCAAAGACTTAAATTTATTTTGTTTTTTATTTAAAAAAATATAAATGATCATTTTTTATTTAAGAGAGAACGAGAAAGGGAAAGGAGAGAAAAGGAGCAAGAGACGATAAGAAAGAGCAAGAGAGAAAGAGAGTCTGTTAAATTGAATATTCGTTTTTCGCCGTCTTCAGTTCCTTCTCTCTCTTTTTGTCAACCATATCCTACACAGCACGGGGAGTTCCCCGGGAGCTCATAAAATTTTTGTAGCTTTATTTAAGCTTCAAAAAGAACTCTCCGAGAACTCTGCTTTTGAGAGTTCCCTATGGGAGCTTTATTTTGCAGGCGGAGCTCTTTTTAAGCTCCTAGAGAGCTCAGCAAAATAAACTCCCTTCCAGTCGACACAAACTGAAAGAAACATAACGTTAATGTTATAATTTCGTATTCTCTACAATATAAATGTAATATAACACATGGTGCTACATGACAGTATTGTGGAGTACGAAATTATAACATTGACGCAATGACGAGATACTTTTAAGGGGATCCTAAAGCGAAGCTCGAACTCCGACAAAATCACTAGATGTCGCTAATTTTCCAGCGCATCGACATGTCTGTATATACTACCACACCAATATTTCACGCAGCCTATGATACATTCAGTCGTACATTCGTGTCAATTTTCGTATAAAAAATTTTTCACGATAAAGCGTCTAAATCTAATTCTAGGAACTCGACGTTATTTGTTCGTGCAAACTACGTGTTTGTGGATCACTATTTCGTAAATACAGGTTGGAAAACTTTCGCATCAAGCAAATGTTGTCACGACTTAACAGCTTGAGACATCATGTTACACTAAGAAATGGTAAAAAATATATCAATTTCGAAATTTTTAGTCGTTCTCGGCATAAACTCCACCTCATAAACACGTATTAATGCGTATAATCCTGGAAAAGGATTTTCGAATCTGTGAAAGAGAAAAAAAAGTATTTGTTATACAAAAAAATTATATGATTTAGTCGATAATACAGGCGGCTTTAGGATCTCCTTAAAGACTGTCGACCCTAGGCGCCCTGGGCAAATTTTCGTGATTATTAATAGGGCCCGAGGATAATTGAAGAACGATGACATTACCGACAATTAATAAAAATTTACGATTATTAACATAAATATTTCGATAATTTATTATTAAATTCGTGATTTTTTATTATATAAATGCTGTATAAATAAATACGCATACTTTTAATGCTATATCTTGTATATTGCCGAAAAATTACAATTTTTTCTTTGTAGTTATCATCTCTATTGATAATCAAACCCGGATGATAACATTAAAATCACAGTTTTAAATAAAAATCGAGTATTATTAAGTTTTAAGCATATATACATGTCTACGAAACTAATAAATCATGAAATGAATACCGTATTATCAGTTTCTTACTTTTAATCGCTTAAATTTTGACAGTCACGCGGACTTCCATAAGCGCCGACCGTCTTTAATAGTATCTCGTCGGTGATTGACGTTATGTTACTTGCAATTTGTGTCGACTGAGAGTTTATTTAGTCGAATTTTGTAAGCTCCCTGGAAGCTCAGCAATATGAACTGCCTGGAAATTCATTTTGTCGAATTTTATATAAGCTCCCCGAGAGCTCAGCAAAATGAACTCCCTGGGAACTTAATCGGAGCTTTGTTCTGTGTGGGATTGATATACTATTTAGATACGAATAGCGCAGGCCATGCTCTACAGTGTCTTTGCATTCTGCATATTGAATTCATTACGCATGCGTAAACATATGTATATGTAAGAGTGCGTCATCTTTGAATTAATTGGTTGACAAGTGCAAATACATCGATCGATATATCGAATCTTTTATCAGCTGATTTTCATATGGTGCATGTATGTACACATATTGTTGATTTCCTACGTCTTTACAGAACTTTGCACCAAAAATTCTTTTGAAAAATGATTAACATGCTCAGTGCGTGCAGTTATGGTATATTCGATCACTTACCGGCGACGATCGGTTTTTCACACGGAAAATATTTAAAGTGCGTCCCTCTTGCATGACTTTTTGGACCGGCGGAAAACTCGCCACTACTCAAAAGGAGCTTCCTTCCAACGTATCGCAGTCTCGTGCTCAACTTGCTGAGCATCATCATTACTTTATTTATTTATCTCTGTTTTTTTCCCTCCCTCTTTCGCTTCGGTTCATCCGGACAACAAACCGTTCGCTAGGAAGTCGCGAATGGGTCTTATCTCTAGTTTGCACACAATGCCGATATTTCTCGGAGGTACTCCCGCTCAATTCCACGTGTCGAAAATTTCGAAACGGTCTTCAGTCGAGGTCGAAACGCGAGCGAGTGCGCGCATGCGCGCGCGCACGGTCGTAATCGAACGATTGACGCGGTGCCGATCGATGCCCGTCGATCGTATAAGCACGAACAGAAACTGGTTTCTTACCGATGTACAACGACGAAGCATCGAGAACGCAAGCATGACTCAACTAAAAAGGGGATAGGATTCTCCGAGGAGTGGGAGAACAGAGAAACTGCGATAAGACGTTAGTAATGCTTATCGTTTAGTGTGCTCGGTGTGTTTTATTTTGTTTCCAGATTAATTATTAGATCTCTAGGGTTGTGAGTGATGCTTGACGTCAACCGCGCGTTGTACGAAGGCAGAGAGAAGAGCATTTCAATATCAAGGATTTAAACGCATGATAAAATAACTTGTTGTCTTAAAACAATTTGTTACTATCGCGCTCCGCTTTCTTTTTTATCGCTGACACAATGGCGGATTCCAATGACTGGATAATTGATAACAAAGGTATTTATATTAATATAGTCAAACGAACGGGATCAAGTACATTTAATTCATACTTTTCATTTAATCTTCGCTCAATTTTTATATTTTATATAGCTCGTACGCCACGAAATTGGAGTGTTTTTCTATCGATCTTATTTTATCGATCAATGGTTATAAAGAGAATTCCTAAATGTGTGTGTTTCAACAGCGGACGATCTACTTTACCGACTGTAGATATAAATTATGAAATTCTAAGAAGAATCAATCGATGAAACGACGTGAGAGCAGACTGCAGTCTGCAAACACGGATGCGATCCTCGGCGGGATTATCAGCTTGGGTTGGAACGGGGGTTGAGGGATGCGCGGTGCGCGCTTTGTCGGCCATTACGGATTCGTTTGGATTCATTCTCGTGGACGCGTCGTTAGATCCAACACTAGGTTTTTCGACGAATATCTCGTAGCGGAAAGGAAGCGAGGCCATTATTGAAATCGATTGATCAAGAATCCGGATCTTGTCAAACATGGATATGAATAGATCCAGCAACGGTGATTACAAGTATCAGAGAGATGAGGATGCCGACGATAAACCCAGGTCGCTCGATGAGTCTGAGAAGGATCACCAGGCTGACAAGGCCGGCGAGTATATGAATGAACTCTTGCAAGAAAAGATTGAATTAGACGGGCAGAAATGGCCCAACGCTGTGCGATTATTGGATCAAGGTGAGTTGAAGAAGAATTATTCTGAGTAAATATATTCTCTTAATTCTCTTAATAGATGATCTTGTTGAAGAGTCATTACATCATTCACGGCGAGAAACTGCCGCAATGTCCATAGTTTTCACTCGCAATATAATTGGATTGAGTATGTGATCGATACTCGAATCAACGAAATGTTAAGATTCAACAGAATTCAGTTTTGAAGACAATATGTTCGTTTGAATTTTATTGGCACATAATTTACATTGAATATATCAGTTCGAAAATCTTCAGTCTCTTTAGAATTGTTTGGTTATTGAAATATTCGTTATCTTTATAATTTGATGTCTGGTATTAAAAGTAATAAGTACTTAACTATGGTGATAGATATTATTGTGTAGTCTATTGTCACTAATTTCAAAAAAGGAAAAAGTAAAAAAGGAGGAATAAATCCTTTATCGAAAGGAAATAATTTTTTAAAATATAATAGAATGCATATTTTTCTTATAGATATTTTGTGTATATCTGTTGATTGATTTAAGATAAAAGATTATATAACAGAATAAAAATAATAAATTTAATAAAGAACAAATAAGTAATTTGTACAACTTTGGCCATAAACATAAGTATAAAGAACCTTTAATTTATCACATTTTCTTGTAGAAGGTAATTATAGAAACCAAATAGAAAGTAACAAAATATTAAAATTGTTATTTTTGTTAAATATAGAACATTACATCAATATGTGAGGATTTATACTTATGGCCAAAGCTGTAGTAAAAATATATTGAATTAAGATCTAATAAATAAATTATGTAACTTTGTTATAAAAAAATTACATGTTTTGTAGAAATTCAAAAAACAGAAACTTTGCGAAGACCAATGAGAGAGTCAAAATATGTGGATATCTATCGTGAAAAGCATGTTCGTGTCTCTGTCAAAGTACTAGTACCCGTCCGTGAACATCCTAAAGTAAGTATCTCTATCTACAGTAATCTAAACAGATTTGAGATGAATTCAATTTATGTAATTTTCTGTCTTAGTTTAATTTTGTTGGGAAATTGCTTGGGCCGAAAGGCAATTCTATGAAACGCTTGCAAGAAGAGACAATGTGCAAAATGGCAGTGTTAGGCAGAGGATCTATGAAAGATAAACTAAAAGTTGGTAACAAAGGAAGACTTATTTTCTTTTTTACTTTTTATCTTTGAAAGAAGTTGGTTTATATTTTTATGATGAATCTTTTAATCTCAGGAAGAAGAACTTCGTGCTTCCATGAATTTGAAATACGCGCATCTTGCCGACGATCTGCATGTAGAGATTACAGCTATTGCTCCACCGGCGGAAGCTTATGCTCGCATTGCTTTCGCGCTCGCCGAGGTGCGGAAATATTTAATTCCCGATAACAATGATAATATACGTCAAGAACAAATGCGTGAAATGGAGATGGGCATGCCTGACGATACTGTTTCAAACGATCGCAGATCTTCGATGAGAGGACCTTCAAATCTTGATGGTAACATACCAAGGCCTGCTGCAAGACAGGGACCTAGACAGTCTAGAGGTTGGTTATTTATTGTAAAAATTGTACAATACGTAAAAATATTGAATGTATAAAATTAAGAATCTACTTGCATCTATATAACATTAATTATTTTGGACTCGTGTTTAACAAATGTGATGTATTGCAATTAATATATTTAAATCTTTTATGATAAGATATGCATATGTGTATTGTATATATGCATATTTAAATTACACATGAATTTTATATATACATATATATCTATATACAATAATTAATATATATAATTATAATTGTATATATAAATTATATTTATTTTTGTTTAGCTATGTTTCCTCCACCTGCAAATCGTGGAGGACCACATGCTCGCGGACCTGCACAATCTAAATCAAAGGTATTCTCAATTTTGGATCGCGCGAGGGCTGCTATGGATCAAGGTTACAAGTAAGTTTAAATTGTACACATGATGTAACAAGATCGTTTCATTAAAATATGAATTAAATATTATACTGAATATTCAAATTTTTTCGTTCTAGTAGCTATGATGCTCAGACTCCGGCAACAAATCGTGGTGGATCACATCATGATTATGATTATCATGGATCATCAGGTAGTAACGCTAGATATGGTGATCGTTATACATCAAATGCTGGGTATGTATTATAATGTTTATTTACGATGATAAAAATAAGAGAGAATAATGTAAAGTTTGAAGAATAAGAGTCTCTAATACATACATTAAAATTTTATAATAAAACGTAAATAATATGAATAGTATATAAATATAAATTATAATAAAAAAAAAGAGAACTTTCTTTATAGGCAGATATGTATTTTTATGAAATGCAATTTTATATATGATTCTTTTTATATTATGTAATAGTTTATATCTAATAGAGATGAAAATATTCTTTTTCAAGATACACAACTTACGAATACGATGATGAGTCTGCACCACATTCTTCACGTGATTATTACGAATCTTCTGACTATGGAGGTAAATTATTATATTTATATATTTGCTTGATTATATTAAATTTAAAAAATTTACTTTTGAGGATATACTTTTTGTGATTTTGATTTAAGAATGAAAAAATTTTCGTATTAGAGATGTTATATATTTATTTGAGTATTTGTTTTAATTCTTTTATAAATTTATTACTTATTGTAATTTTTTTATATTTATTACGTGTGAATTCTTCTAACTTTTTCAAATAATATAAATTCTTTATTATGCTTACGCAGGGTTTATTATTATATACTAATTTTATTATATAAATTTTGCAATATAAATTACACAAATAAACACTCGAAAAAGTCTTAACATTTATAATTATTATAAACTCCGGAATTATTACAATTATTGTAAAAATATCATTAATGAAGTTTATAATGTTCATGTGCTTAAAACAGAACTATTGAAAGTTTTCATAGAAATGCATTAAAATTGTTATTTATGCATAATAATTTTTAATTATGAATTTATAAATTTAATTTTCTATATTGTCGTAAAAGAAATTATTTTAGATTAATAATTGTATTGTAAACATTTTTTGCCAGAGATTAATTATTATTAAACCCCTAATAATTATACAAATAAATCTTAGAACTAAATAATATCTTTATATGATTTGATAAAGATTAATAATATTTGAGAAATTTTTACTAAAATTTTTTATAGAAATTAATTTTAATATGATTTTTAACACAAACGTTGTCTTTTATTTAAGGAGATGCTAGAGTGACCAAATTATCGACATTACAATCGTATAAAAATCTCCGAATTGAAAGAATAAAAAATTCTTTTACAACAGGATTAAAATAGACGCAAAACTTAATTTTTTCAATTTTAGTATAAAAATTAAAAAATTACTTAATTTTTTTCAATTTTAGTATAAAGTCCACTGTACCACCTCTTAATTTTGCGTCTACTTTAATCCTGTAAAAGGATTTTTTATTCTATTCAGTCAATTTGGAAATTTTACTTTTGGACTATAATATCTATAATTTGATCACTCCAGTGTTTGGTCCTAATTTTGCATTCCCTTAAATCGGATTACGCGTACATAAGAGATAACTGCATTTATATATATATATATATACATATATATATATATACAGGGTGTCTCGCGAGACTTCTCCGACTACTCACAGGAAGGTAGATGAGATCGAGATGGGACAAAAGTCCCATATCGTTTAGCGATATTCGCAATAATATCGTCCAGTTTATCAAGTATTGACTGTCGATAGCGCGTTGGAGAGGCAAAAGGGAAAGCGCACCGTTGCTCGGCACCCGGCGTCGCCGGTCACATGTCTCGCCATTTCTCTCGGCGTGTTCTCATTAGTACAATTACAAAAATTAACATCTCGATTATAAATATCGCTAAATGATATGGGACTTTTGTGTTTATCTCGATTCCATCTACCTTCCTGTGAGTAGTGGGGAGAAGTCTTGCGGGATAGA